GGCGATGCCATAACCATACTTTGGAAGTGTGCTTTTCAACACTCACACCCCCAATTTTGTAAGCTTGATTGAGGCTGGCTTCACTGTCAGAAGCCAAGTCCAGATAGTAGAGTTTGCCCCTCCTAGTACCACAACCAATCGTCTTGCTGCTGAGAATGTCCTGAAAAACACAATGAGTAGGCCAAAAATTTACAGTACAATTCAAAGCCGTAGTAATTTGGGCAATAGACAAGAGATTATGATGTAAGGATGGAACAATCAACACAGAATCCAAAGTGAGGGAGTCATAGAGAGAGAGGGAACCTTCCCCAATTACTGTGGAGGGGGTACCATTGGCATTAGACACCACCGATTGAGAAGACGGTGTATGAGTGTAAATTTGTCCAGGATCAAAGGTCATGTGATCAGTGGCTCCGGTGTCAATGACCCATGTGTGTTTCTTTGAAGAACTATGCAAAACATAACCTGGGGAACCAGTAGTGGCAATTGTGGAGGAAGAGACGATATCCATTGTAGCGGAATGATTGAAGAATACAAGGAAAAATGTTTAGGGTTTCGGGTTTGTGTGTAGGGTTTCGGGTTTGTGTTTAGGGTTACGGGGTTGTGTTAAGGGTCTCGGGATTCAGGATACGAGGATACGGCTCCATGTTTCAAGGAATTCAAGAGGAGGGATTCGATACGAGGAATTCGATACGAGGGATTCGATACGAGGACTTCGATACGAGGGATTTAGAGACAACCTAGGATCGATTGCTATGATACCATGCTAAAATATGAATACGGGTTTTCAATATGTTCAGATGATTTATTCTTCTCCATAAGGAGGTATATATAAGAAGTTTACAAGAGTGCTATACAAGGAATTAGATACAGGAAAGAATTAGGAAAGTATCTCCTAATTATACAAAGATTTATCAATTATATAAAATAGGAAAGTAAATCCCTTAATTAATCAAGGAAATAAATCTCCTTGATTAATTAGGAGACTCACGTCAACAATATTCGCGGGTTGATTCTTCACTATTCGAATTTTTCTCTCTCCTCTTCCTTGATCCCTGCGAAAAAGACCGGAGTAAATAGACTAGACCCGAGGGGTAATCTGTACAAAAAGGAGCCACTACTACAAAAAACACTTTGCGCGACGAAATTTTGGTCGCGCAAAACTCGTAAAGAAAGGGTTTGCGCGACGGTGAAAATTCTTCGTCGCACAAAGCCACTTTGCGCGACGAAGGATAACAACTTGGGCGATGAATCATGACGACTTTGCGCGACGAAAATAACAACTTTGCGCGACGAATATTAATTACTTCACGCGACGAATATTAATTACTTTACGCGACGAATATTATCTACTTTGCGCGACGAATAATATCTCCTTTGCGTGACGAAAGTTAATGTCGCGCAAAGGTTTGCGCGACGAAATATTCATTTTTTTTTAATTTTAATTTTTTTGAAAATTTTAAACTAAAATAAACTAATTTAATAGTTTGCGCGACGAAATATTTTGTCGCGCAAGGTTTTTGACATTTTTTATTGTTATTTCTCTTATATCAATTTTATTATATTAATTTTTTTAAATTTAATTTAATTGTATGATTTTATTTTTCTTAATTACTTTAATTTAAATTGACATATTCAAAATAAAATT